TGTCCTCAACGAACTGTTTGGGACAATGCTATCCAAGAAGCCACCGAAGAGCAAGACTACGATGATGGCACTCTTGTGGACCTGGACGGTTCGGTAACCGGTCATGACTAGGAAGTTTGGGTAAACTTCGACCATAGGAAGGGGGTAATGTTATGATTTTCCCATGCTTATCTCATTCCATTTCCATTCCGAGCATTGCTATTGGACAGTACCTTTCTCTGAGTAGACCTTCCCATGGACGCCATCTTCTTCTCACACGTTATCTCCCTTGACTCACCTTCTACCAATGGGCGCCCTTGTATTTCTCATTTCTCTGAGTTACGTTCTCACAGGATGGCTTACGCGTCCTTTCTTATTGTTCTCTTCTTTGGGTATTAACCCCTATACCAGTTACTATATATACTGTAGGAAAACCCATGTATTCCTTAGTTCAACCTCCTGTTGAATACAGCGATTACCTGGACTCTTGACTTGACCGTTGGCATTGGCCCGGCCAGACCTACCTTTCAGTACGCTTACTGAGGTAGTGACAACATAACTGTTGGCACGTGGCCCAGTTATCTCAAGATGACTAGTTAGGACATCGCTTCCTAACAGGAGGAGCGTCCGATAGAGGGACTGTGGGCGCAGGGCGAAGTCGGCTTCCAAGTCCTCGTCAGGACAGATGGAAAATGCGTGTGCCGCGGGGACCTCTGCAGCATTGTTAGCCTGGGTCTTATTTATCTACACACAGTACTCACAGAGCTCGACTTGTACCTCGTCAACGCAGCGTTGTAGGGTGGCATTGAGGGCGGAGGGGTATCGTTGCGAAAGCCTGATGGCCACCATCGGGCCCTGCTCCCTTTTGCTCCTGCATCATGGCATCATGCCCCACCCTAGAGCCGGGGCGCTGGGGGGGGTATCCTTCCTCGCCCCGAGATGGGCCGCCTCGTTGTCCTGCTCCTCCTCCCTCGCACCCGCACCCAATACTCCGTAAGCTCCCTAAGTCAATGACAAGGGGCCTCGGCTGGATCCCAACGTCACCCTCGTCCCCAGTACACCCACTACGTCACCCTCGGGCGTTGCGACATCCAATATCACGTATCGCGAAGGCAATGGGAAAGTACGCGGGCGCGACAGGAGCCACCGCATGGTGGGGCACTCGAGCACATCCACAAGGGGGGGTAGAGCGTCTCGCGGATGAACTTGATCACGGGTGAGCGGGGCGTCAATATGGATGGGGAGGGCGGGCATGGGATCAGCACTTTCGGGTTGAGGAACTTGGGCCGGTTGGGGAGAGGAAGCCGTTGGATACAGTCGAGGATGGAGGATGTCCATGCGTATGCGGGCAGGGAGAGCCCACCGTGGACAAGGCGCACCGTGGACGAGGCGCACCTGACAAGCTTCGGGCTCGCTGCGGGGCAGTTCTCCATCGCGCTCATGCGAATGCGCGGGCGCGTGCGCGGGCGTGTGCGGGCGTGTGCGGTGTACATCGTCCCCCTTCCCACTCTCTCTGTCCCGCTGGGCAGGTGCTCATCCAGACGGGGACATACATGGCGCGTTCGCGGGCATCCGGACCATGCTGGGCGATTGATACTGAGGTGCGCCAAAGGGCGAATACTGGAGTTGCGCGGCATGAGGACGAGACAAGACGGATACAAGACGCACCTTCATACGCAGGGATCCATGACCAGACTGCTCTCCGTGTGGCGATTCGATGCTCCTGGTGTGTGGTGATTCGAGAGGCATCATGTTGGCGAGCTCAGAAACGAGTGGTGAGGAATGCTAAGTCTGCTAAGTCAGTCATCGGTCACAACTGCGGCGTTCTCCGGATGTCACATTCCCGTGTCACATCAGCCTCAGTCATTGCCCAGTGGTCGACGTATGGCAGTGTAAGCTTAGATATTTGTCTCAGGTGTTTATATGACAAGATAACTTTCACTTCAGCATAAAATCTTGACAGGACAGCACGATAGACAAATCCTATTGAGCACCAGCTTGAAGCCACTGACCGTGACCAGGGTCACACAGTTACTGTGGCTGTGTCTCCCATAAGGCGGGTACAAGACATTCTATGGAGGTCTCAGACGCATGTAAGCTCGAGAAGAGGTACATAAAGTAGAGTACGACACATAAGATATTCTGGTAGTGATTAATACAAGTGCAACAGCTTGAAGCTGTGGTGGTCAGCATACTTGTTAACATAGAATAGACGGAACCTATCCAAACTATCTACAGCACTGATATCATGAGGAATATTTGTTCTCCCATACATCGGGATAAGGTGGGTAGCACGGAGTATGTGGTGTATTGGGATGATCGACAAAGCAGGGCGACTGCCCCAACTGCCTGCACCACGGTCAACCACCCACATCCCTGTATCCTCATCCGGCTGACTGTTCACCCACTCAAACCAATGGACGAGTGCACATTGGTATTGCTTACCACCAAACTTGAAGGAGAAAAACATAAAGATCCTTGCAACATCGAAGGGTGGAGAGGGTGAATCTTCATCTTGTATGGTTTGTTTAACAAAGGCGCAGTCAAAGCAAGGAGCACCCTTGCGCCAAGACAGTGTGGCACGGATATGCTCACGGCGCATCCCTTGAATCCCTGATAAATCGCTAGGGGCATAGAATGTAGCAGCAGCGGAGTGGTGGATATAGATTGGGTCAGAAAAAGCTGGTAACTCTGCAAGGTGTGATAGTGGATTGGACGTGTTGATTTGGTCACGAAGGAATCCTCGTAGGAGGGCGCTGAAAGTTGGTGTTGGCAGGGTCATGTTGGAAGGGAAGCAAGCAGGGTTTAAAGAGTGCTGCCGCACTGAGGAAACATTAGCGAAGCCGTGCCACTAATGAAAGAGATGAAGGTGACGTACTGGAGCGAGATGCAAGTCTGATATACGCTGGTGCCCAACTGGGGCACCGTCATCTAGACGCCGCTGGAGGGACTGTTTTGCAACTGGAGCACCATTATTGTTATTCTGGGTGCACAACAGGGAAGCAGAAATACCTGTTGAAACATCTTCAAGCATCCCTCGGTTGACAAAGTCAACACGGCTAGCTGAAAGTCCATCCAGACGCTGATTTGTAATCAACATCTGCCCCAATGCTTCGAATCGGTTGGAGCGGCGCCAGGGCTCCTTCACCGCTTTGATATGCTTAGACTCTGTAATTGAAGAGCATAGGCCATTGAGAGCGCCAAATTCCCAAATGCAGTCATAATAGTGCCTGACAGAGTGTTGTCTTGGCAAGGAATAACTGTCCACTCGAAATCCTTCTTCCTCAAAAACTCCTCGGTAATCATGAAATCGTTCCATGGCTTCTTTGAGATGGTCTAGAGTCTCAGGGGTGTGGAGATCACGACGAGCAAGATAACAGAACTCCAGGAAGGCCCGCATTGTCCGCACAATCTCAGTGGGGACCAACCCGTCAATAGCAGGAAGGTATACCTGGAAATCAGAATTTGTAAAAGTCTTTCTGGAGGTGTATGTGCAGGTGCGGGGTGGGGTCACATTCAGCGGTACCCATGACTTCGCAGGTTTCGAAAACACGTCGTTCAAAGTGTCGATGTGCTTCCGAAACTGCGGATACCCAACCTGACAACATTTGGTATGGGTAGGCACCCGTGGATGTACACATGCAGTCATATAAAAGTAAAAGAGAAATACCTTCATCAGAGCCTTCGAATCATCGCCTGTCCACTGCTTAAAACCACGACCTTCAGGAAATCTCCTGAGACCCGTAAAGGGTGGCGCAGCTGCAATGCTATTTGAGATGAGGTGATCAATGGTTAAGGCGGTGATGTGGAGGTGCCCATATGTACGTACCGTCGGTCAATTTCTGCTAGCACCACCTCTGCACCCGCAGCCCCATGTTTGATTTTGAGGAAGTCGCTGATCCACTCCACCAAGTGATCCTTAAATGTGCCTTTGATTAGTTGGTGTAAAAGGTCAGGAGATAGCAGCTTGTGGATATCGGCACGGGGGAAATCATTTGTGAATGGCTGAGAAATGCGTCAGTACAGATTATGGTTTCAGCCTGGTACCCTTATGGGTTCCGTAACCTGTGACTACCGGAAAGGAAGAAACATACCACAATATCGCCAACAATTCCATACTCATCCCACAACACACCCAGATCCAGTGTCTCGACAAGCAAGTCTGTATGCTCGCATGATCGCCATGTACTGGGACCATCCCCTTCCAAATTACCCCTCCGAGCCGTACATCTTTTGGAATGCCATGATCAGAGTAGAAGTAGGGAAAAGTAGTCAATGTACTTCGGACACCACCCTTTCACAATGCAGGCAAGGAGTGCTTGCTCCGGATAGTCTGCGATATATGGCCCAAGTCCATATATAATGCGACGAAATGCGCCGTCAGCACAGAACGTCACCTCTGGGATAGTCATATGAGGCCTGAGGCTCTCAAGTATCTTCGAGATGGAGGTATGAAATAACTGTCGCCGGAATTTGCGGAACTTCACATCATCTTTGTGCCGCCGATCCGCTTTATGATAGTGAGTAGTCTGATCTTTATTCGAAGGATCAACATACTTTTTGGGATGGCTAGGAATCCAATCACAACACAGGCATTGCGATGGGCCCGTTGCACAGAATTATGATGATTACCAAGCATCATATAGAGAGGGTAGTATTCATTGTCTCCGGTTGCGACAGAGACAGTGGTCTTGTCACTTCCAAGGATCACCGGGACAAAGGCAGATCCATGCGTAGTCGGATCCTCAGCAATCTTGGTCTAATTGGATAAATATATGTTGGGGCAGATAGTGGAAAATGACGTACTGAGTGTCTCCATGCCCAGTCCCCAGACATGAAATCTTTCAACCGTCTTTGACCATCCGGCATAAACTCTTGCTTGGCGCAGTAATCCATTTCATTTTCATAGTCCGGATTTGCCAGCATTTGTCGGGCCATCTTGAGTGGATCACGGTACCAGACCTCATAGCCTGCTGTCATCCAGCTGGGAACGTCTCTGTGAGGCTGAGACCCAGTATACTTCACCGTGAATGACTCCCATTTGACATCGTCCATTACCGTGGCATCTATAGTCTTGTAAAGTCGACGTGCATCATGAAATGGTGAATCACCACCATATTCGGCTGCGTCCCTTGCCCATATGTTCAAGAGGGCATCAATCTTCTTAGCAGACATTTGTTCCTTGGTAAACAGGAAGTCCGCCAACTCAAAAGCAGTTTTATTTTGGAAAGGTGCCCACGAACTGCCAGATGGTAGAGGGGGTGAAGATCTGGGGGACGGTGCACCTGATGGAGGCAAACAGGCATGGCCTTGGACTGATTCTGATTCAGCCAGTGACGGGTCTGGTGGCAAAGATGCACCTGATTCGTCACAAGGGATACCTTAATAACAGGTCAGAATACTGGATGCCAGCAGTACAATAATCCTTGAAATCTTACCGTTCAAGTGAGGGTGATAGATGACTGTAACCTTGCCCGATTCATTCCCAGTTGAACCGGTTAGTTTGGTGCTGAGGCCCGGTGGATGGCTATGTACACATTCCTCATTGTCCAGTGGATCTTTGTCATCCAAGAATGCTTCGTCGTCATCACTGTCCTCTTCGATTGGAGCGAAGGGGTTGTCATCAATATAGTCGTAGAAGTTGGGATGGAAGATATTATCAACAAAGTCCAGTGCCATCCCAGATGGTGAAGATGGGGGACCTGAGTTGTGTTCGTTGTGTATACCACTGGTCCGGGAGGACGTGGCAGCATCCCCCTTGGCCACTGGGGTTGTTGGATATATATTATCGGAGGGACTATTATCAGGACCAGCAAGTTCCCGGACAGGCTGAGGTTGATCCACTGAATGTGATTGCCCTTCAATATCTGGAAGAGTGGCTGAGACTGCTTCCGCTGCCACATGCAAGGCGCGCGGTGGAGAGGCTCTGAATAAACGGTTGAGCACACCCGACGGTCCAGAAGTTTCTGCTGGAATGTGTGCAGCATTTTCGGGAGGCCTGTACGGATGCACTCGCTGAGTGTGCTTCAGTAAACCTCCAGAGCTACGGCAAACTTTATTGCACACAGTACACTTGAAGGCAGGAGAATCGACTCTGCTGGGCGAGAAGAGGTATGGAAACTTAAGAGGCATAATGTTTGTTCCGAGTGAAAGGGTGAACAGAATATTTGAGTGGGGTACTAGACATGAACACCACTGCCGCGCAACAGCCTGTGTTCTGTGTCTGACTTAGACGGATTTACCTCCAGAGCACATCGCACCGGCAATGTGCGGGTATGCCGTCATGTTCAGTCTCCAAGTAATTCCCGTCTCTCTCTAGCCCGCCACGTCGTTTAGCATCAACTCTGTTCATCCACACAGAATACAACATTCCCTCTTTCATAAGAATAATCGTGTCTTTTCTCATGGCCCCACCGACAAGGAGAAGCATGAAAACCAAGGCCAGCACCTTGCTCGATGAAAGGACTGAGCCGGAACCAGTGAAGAAGAGGCAGCGACGTACTCCAGAAGAGATCGCAGCCGAGAAGTTGAAGGAGGAGAAGAGGGAGCAGCAGCAGCGAGAGAGAGAGAGAAAAAAGGTTGAGAAGGCGGAGCAGGATGCGGAGGCCAAGAGGGTTAGAGAGGAGGTCAAGCGAGCCCGAGAGGAGCAGCTTGCCTTGGACAAGGAAGCAAAAAAGAATGCCCGAAGCGCAAAGGAAGAAGCCCGGAAGGCTAAGGAGCAGGCCATCATAGAGGAGGAAGAGATGCGAGAGGCTCGATGTACGACGATGGAGCTGAACGTTGCCGCCTTGGAGGAAAACCAAGCCCATGAGCAGGATGTCCGCAGGGCAAGTCGTGTGGGCCATCTGACTGAGTACACGGTGCGCCCACTCAAGCGTTCCTATGCCGTGGCAGACTTGCATGATCTCGCAGAAGGTAAATCTGAGTCGTCCACTTGTACAAATTCATTACTGAAGATCTTCAGCAGATGAAAACACACGTACCAACCTGGCGCCTCTCAAGCCTCAAGGCAAAGATGTCCTCGATCCTTCTTCTGATGTTGAAATGAAGGACCTGGATCGTATGAGTGAGCGGTTGGTGTCTGATCAAGGGGACACCGACATTTCCGAGATATCTGAAGGGGATCGCCCACTTCAAATGCGGAAGAAAGCTAAAAGGGGTGCTTCAAGGCCACAATCATTCCGGGCCTCAGTGGAAGAGAAGTGCAAGAAGCTTGCTGACTCGGGCTTGCATCAGGACGGCTTCTTCTCTTCCGGCAGTAATTCAAGTAACAATAACAAGGGTAAAGAGCGAATGCTTTCCCTCGCTACTATGCAGAGGGGATTCAGAGACAAGATTCCCAGCCAGCATGAGTACGCTCCTTTCCAATTATCACCATCAAGATCCATTGATCTTCACATGTGATTGCATCTTTAGGTCCATTTCTGAACGTCAGGGCCCACAACCCTCGGATGGGTACTCCATTGGAGAAAAGTATGATTGGGCAATGTTCACGTCAAGCTCTGTGCTCGGGGGTCAAGCAGTTAATTCCCCTCTGGTAGCTACTATCCGACGACCTGCTCTGGCAGAGGCACCCAGAAATGGCGTACTGAGAGCACCAGCATTGTTCGCAGCATATCATAGCTCTACTGATACTTTTGGGAATCCAGTCGCCGGCACCAGTGGACTCCAGGAGCCTGATTCTGACCTTGACTTAGAAGATATGGACCGTCTCATGGACGATGAGATGGGTGAGCAAGAGGCTGCCAGGTCATCTCCGGAGAAGACGCCTGTTGCACGGGTGGCCCAGAGCATTTGTGACTTTATCCATCTGAGCGAAGCCCACCTCTTACGTTATTCCAGAATTCTGTGGCTATTGTCAAACCACCCATCAGGTCATCCAAGCTGCACTCCGATAGTTCCTCGACCATGAATGCGGAGTTAAATGATAGCCTGCTGATAACACCAATGCCACCAAAACCGCGAAGACGTACTACAGCACTGGTAAGCATCTATGTTCCTTGATCCCATCATCCCAGCTTAATATCTATATTAGATGGCCTCAAGTGTTGTTGACAATGACGAAAATCGTGCCGCTCCCCAAGACAAGCCTGGGAAGGCTAAGACCAAGGTGAGTTGATGACTCTACACTGCGACCATTATGATCATGTTACGATACTTTGCAACAAGCAGTCCGGAGGGGTGCCTGCGGTACAAGTGAAGAAGGACCCGCAGGATCCTAGCATAAAAATTCCCCGGAGCATCTGCAATGGCAAGGTAATTGTGATTGATGGTGATTCAGATGAGGAAGTCATCGCCGGGGCGTCCGACACTGAACCAGACTCTGGTTCTGCCCTCCCGGTTCAGTCGACGAAGGGTAAGGTAAAGAATGGCCATTTGCCAAATGGGATCGGCACAGATTCCTTGTGGATCTCAGCATTCATCGGCACCGTCCTGAGATGGATGGGTACTCGGGAGAGGCCCTGGATTATGGATGACAGCCAGTTGGTGCCCGTATATCAGGCTGTGTACAATCACGTCTTTCGGAAGAAATATGGCCCAATGACCATACAGGCCAAAGACACTATCTATACTCGGGTAAGCTGTGATGCTTTACTTGAACTTCGGACTCCTCACACTTGCTGCTTGTAGACCAGGCAGAAGATATACGAGTGGCGCAGCGGCTTTGGTACTGCTGCAATATCAGTTCTGGATGCCTATTTTCGGGAGCACGCTAAGGACTTTGCCACGTATGCTGACCGTGTCAGGTTTGCGGACCACCAGTTGGATAATTACCGGTTTGTTTATGCGGATACGAGGAGTGCTGTCTACAAGGTACTCTAGCCTGTTGATCCTGTCTGTGTCATGTGTCATACTAACCTTCTCATCGTGATTCTTAGGAGTGGACTGGGTGTTGGCGCAGCCCATTCATGATAAACACCCTTTCATACCACTATACCCATTTTAGATCAGGTATGGATGTCCTCATCCCTCAACTTCGTGATGAAGACGGTGAGGAGCTGCTGCCGATTGGGGCCATTGCACTTGTTGCATGTGCCGTAAGTGGAACGTTTGTCAGCATATGTCAGGAGATACTGATGCTTCATAGTTGGAACGTGCCTTCATGCTGTGGCGGGACCGACAAGTGGCCATATCGAAGGTAGACAAGAAGACCATCCTCTTGCCAGCAAAGTCCGACTCCGATTCTGGTAAGAGCGAGGAGCCCAAGTTTACTGGCAAAGAATGGAGCAAGACAACGCGTGGCTGGATGAAGGGTGTGATGAAGGCCGCAAAGGGTTCAAGGAGCCATGCTCGAAACCGCGAGAATCTACTGCATCTTATCCGGTCCGCAATGTCAGCTGCTCAGCCCATATCCCGCCATCAGCCCGCTCTGGAGGCATACGACTCAGACAACGACCCGAGGGCTATGATAGGGGACTCAGATGCATAGCGATGCGGCCAGGTATAACATTTATAAGTAAGTTGTGAGAATAGGTTTATGATTGCCTACTGATGTTGAACCCTCTAAGGCGCTTTCCTGGGTCGTTCCCTCCCGGTTTCACCTACTCGTCATTGGTTGCCTACTCGTCATTCATCATCAGCATTCACGTTCTGGTCACTGCTCTGACTCAAGATCTCGTCCTAGTGGTCTGCACATCTTACGTCTTATGGGCAGTAATGGGTGGACTGCGAAGTCAATGATGCAGGTTGTCACCAGCCCCCTTGCGCCCTTTGATGTATTTTCTAGATGTCTGTATCTTCATCCTTTCGCTAGTTGTTCTGTCTTCTCTCGTGTCCTATACTCTGGTGGCGGCCGCCGGCTGGTCTCTGTCTCCCACCATTTTGCATGTCTTTTTATCTTGCCATCTCGGGTTGGATGCTGTAGCTACTGGTAAAGCTCGTATAAACGACCCTTGTCATTAGGCAGCAGAGCTGCAGGGTTTATATACACTGTGGCCCATAGGCTGACTAAGCTACGTGGAATATCTATAATCCTACTGAGCTCCACCTATGATGTCACTGACCCACATGAGCTCCGTGCCTTTGTACAATAGTGGAATATACCAGAATATTCCAGAGGGTTCTGGTACGTTCTGGTACGTTGTAGAACCTGGCAGCTAAGTCAGCGCCTAGTTCAACACTCCCCCTCGCTAAGTGCCGCGGATAATCGCGCACGCAAGCGTTGGGCTGACTTAGATTACTTGTAGAACCTAAGTCCAAGTTGCG